TGTCTTTATTTAATTTTATGTATAGATTAAGCAGAGTCCTTTTATCACAGAAGAAAAACTGTTAAAGTAGCATTTCTTGATAAGGTAAGCCTTAGCAGAGAAGTGGTGTGAAGGCATAAAGCACTCTCTGTCCAAGAAGAGTGCTGAAAATAGTAATGTATATTTTTAAAGTTTCTTTTTTTATATAAGTGACTATGAAATCAGATACAGGCATTAAACTATACAGTTTAAGTGTTGCAATATGCAGGATTTTGTGGACTGCAACCACTCTGCAACATGAGTAGAAAAAAAATAGTATACATAAGACAATATTTATGTTCTTATATAAAATTTTTTTTCACAATATTTTAAAGATATTTTATTGTTTACTAGTGTCTTTTAAGGTCTTTTCTTCATAAAATTACAGAAGAAATTTATAAATTTTTAATTCTGCATCGAGGATTTAGGTCTCTCTGTACTTGAAAGAGATGCTTCTTTTTGTACTAATAACTTGTTTCTGATTGACTACAGTCATGCAACCTCATAGTGAAAATTCCATATAATCAGTTTAATTTTGATCTTTCTACTTATATGCACACTAACAGGTAAGATATGCCAGCAACACTGAAGGCAGAATAAATTTCTCGGAATGTTAGCTGACCTCACCACTCTCAGTTAGCATAGGAATGAGTGGCTAGAAACTTTTTTGTAAATATGTACTTGAAAGTGAATATTGATCTCTGATAGCATTTTATGACACTTTTGTGTGTCTAATTCTTTATTTGATATATTGATGGTGAACATGGGCTAGCAGATACCATGTAACTCACAAGTTTTTTTGACTCTCTCAGGTATCACTGCATTTGTCCAGAATGTGTGTGCTGTCTGCTCCATTTTTTTTCATGTGTTTTCATGTCTGCTCCAATTTTTTAGCATACCACATTTATTCTGCAGAGGTCCCTGAATTTTTTTACACTCATATACATCTGCTTGCAAGGAATACTTTCTCAAGTGTTATTTCACTTTGAGAGTAGGCACATTTGTTTGTTTTCCTTGAACCTCTCATCAGGGTGCAGCCAGGAGCAATGCTGAGGTGTAGCAATGCATATGGGAGTTTTTGCAGCTTTACTCCTCCTATGTATGTGTGAAGTCATCATAAGAAGGGACCAAAAGTGAAACAAGTCAAGATGTGATGCAAGAAATTTGGAGGCTTTCTGGTTGTAAACTCTTGAACAGCAAAAGTGATGTTGAGATTATTCCCTCTGCAAAAAGAGGAAAGGAAATGGATACACAGGGATTGGTGAAAGATGCTTTAACTACAAATTTTCCACTGTCAAATGGAAATTAGCAACATTCTCTAAGATTAGTTAGCTCTGATGCCACTGCTGTGTTAAATGTAGGCAGTAATAATCACAAGTGTTTCTGTGGGGAAGGTATGTGAATTTCTTGACAAAACCTGCATTATTCCAGTAGTTTTTTGTTGATTTTTGTTGTAATTTTTTTTGGTTAGTTTGTTTTGGCTTTGCTTATTGGCCTTCTCTTAAAGGGTCAAATAATGAATTTGTTTCTTACAGTTTTGTTGCACCAGGTGGGGCATGATAACTATCAATAAAATCAGTTTAAGTGAAGTCATGTGTATGGAAGGATTGTGTCCCTTAATTGAAATTATGTAATGATGGTGAAGAAAATTCAATTTACTATTCAAGATATGATAATGCTTGATAACAAACATTACATGAAATTTTGAATCTTACACAAAATAAGTTGTTCTTTCAGAGACAAAAAAATCTTTGCATCCTTGAATCACTGATGATCAGGGAAAAAAAACCGCTAAAATTGTATTCTACAAAAATAGTAATATAGAAAATGGCCAGTTATCCCAGCATTTCCCAGTCACTTAGTGGTCCATTTGTAGTTAAATGTATATTTTACTATATATATGTGTATTTTAAATACCAATTTAAATATTTTTAAGTAAATATTTTTAAGTAACTGTAATACATTCTGCCATTTTAATGGATTCAACTTATCCAAACCCATTCTTAAATGGTTATCTAAATCTTTAATTTCCACTTTCCTATTAATTTTTAATACTTATAGAGTCTTAACCTACTGTGGTTCTGATGAGCCATTTTGGCATTATCAATTACATATATCTGTACTGAATTAATATTATTTTAGTAGTACTTGCTCCCAGCTGCTGTGATCTCCTTTTGTGAGGTTTTTATTTTACTCACTACAGTGTTAGGTTATGACCCAGTTTCAGCGTTGCATTTCTAGAAAAATGCTTGTCTAGAATATAAGGAAGGACTCTGCCTGTTTTATTGTCTAATATAAGGCAATTCCTGGGAACATTGGGGCAAGCTAAAAATGTTTCTCTTTGCTCGTTAAAGTTGTCAATTCTGCACCTGCCTAACCTCCATTCCTTGGTGCAAGATGGCAGCTTCTGCTGTGGGTTCTATCATGATACTTTAAATGAAGGAAAAATAGAAGGAAAGAAAGTCCTGTGACCTGTTGAAAATTCCAATAAAGATAAAGATACCTAATCCTTGATTTCTAAAGTAGTACCAAATTTCCATCTCTTTTTAAAAAAATAGTATTCAGAAACTAATTTCTTTTGACTGTGACTTTTTTTTTTTTTAAATAATGTACCAAGATATGAGGGCATGTTCTAGTAGGTGTCTACTTTTATAAATCTATAATTTCATTTATTTATTAATTTATTTATTTATTTATTTCTCTGGTTGCAGTGTTTTGCAGTTTAACCAAAAATATAAACAGTAAAACTATACAAGTAATCATCCAGCTGTGAGAAATATTTAAAGTTTCCTGTAAGGGCAGTGTGAATATATCCCTATTTTCTTCATAACAATGATTGAAAGGTACCTGATTTTGCCACTATAAATAATTAAGTGTGATAACCATGAAGTGTTTACACATCCAATTTCTGCTTGACCTTTTTGTAGTTTCAGGAATAGTTTAGAGTGAGAAGACACAGATTTTGTTTTATCTAAATAGATGCATGTGCATATATGTGTGTACATATTTATTGGCCTAAATTTGGGTTGAAAAGAGTAGGCTAATCACATACAACTATTGAATCAAATTGTATTTTGTTTGCTGCTTCACATACTCATGTGACCTTTTTTTGAGTGGAAACCCTTGCACACTTAGCATGCTCTTTTCATTACTGCGAGTAGAAATATTCTGTCGAGTCAAAAATAAAAATACAAATATAGTCAAAATATTCCTTATGTAGGTCTGATGTTCATTGCTGCATGGAGAAGTGTTTCAGTGTAGTCTTGAGGAATTAAAATATATATTGCTGCATGCAGGTCTCAGTGGCCTGTTGAGATTCTTCCATTTTCTAATCAAATGGGACAGCTCTTTCTTTAGGTTTACTGGAGTAAACTGTTATTTTTGCAGGGCCTGTGATTCATGAAACATATGGGGGGCAAGCTCAATTTTTTCAAAGCAACTTATTTTAAATAATAAAAATTATAGCAGTGATATGGTAATTAGACAGGTTTCAGTGTTAGCAGATGTACTGAGAAAGTCATTTAGTGAGAAAAGTGTAAGCAAAGCAATTAAATTTGCATAAGAAATGCAACAGAATAACACAAGTCTACAGCTAACTTTATGGGCTTTATATGTGATATGCATACATCTTCTAGAGTGTGTATATGCATATTTTAAGACTCTAAAGAAAATTGAAGAACCAGATGACTCAGCTCGGTAACTGAAGAGAGAAATATGTCCTGAATTAAAATGAGACACCTTGCTGAGGTAGTGTGTGCTTATATTTGTTTTCTTTTGCATAATGAGTAGCTAAATAATGATATTGTTTTCTTCAGGACCATTGATCAATTGTCTTTTACATAAATGACTCTAAATCTAAATAACAGAAGTTTTGAACATTTAACAACAAATATTTGTACACTTTGAGGTCGACAGTAATTAAAGTTTATATTTTTGAGAAGACAGACATCAAACACAAAGGATCTTGGTCCCACAATAGGAATCCATTAACAAATTTATGGCTGTGAAATCACAAATAATTGATATCTTAAACTATCCCTTTTTTAATGGGCATGCAGGTGATTTGGTATTTGAAGTTTAGTGAAAAGGAACAACTAGAGATCTCTCTGCTCCAAAGAACACTTTTGGTATTACATTTTTACCTATGATTCTTTTACAAATCAGATGGGAAATACAGAGAATTTTTATAAACAACCAGTTTTTTGTCACCTTATATGTCAGTATACTTTCAAATGCCATCAACCAACTAAGTGTTTTCTTGGAACCCAAACATTCTGGGATGTCTTTACATTTGGTGTATGCATGTGCTTCCAGAATAGGGTGTCTATTTCATATTTTTCCTTATTAAAAAAAAAAAAAAGAAGAAGAAGAAATCCTAACTTCATGAAGAGATGTGTTGCTGAGTTTTCTTTTAAGAATGCATTAAAGACCATCCAAATCAGAAACTTCCAAATTGTACATGCTAGATTAAAGAACAAATTTTTAGTATAGTTGGAAGTATAGAGTTTGCATTTTTGCTATTTGTTGCATTTTATTTAAGGAATTCTGTCTATTATACAAGTCATTCTTTTATTTTATACCTTGAAATTATTTATTATTTTAGATTTGGCATGCATGAAATTTCTTAATGAAGGACAGATTTTTAAGAGGTGTGGTGATATAAATTTAAAGGGCAAGCACTAAAATCTCAGTAACACCATAATCTCAGCATACTCTTGCATTTCCTCTCTGCATTTCTTTGGAGAGTAGAAGAAAAGCTTGCACATTCTTGCATGGATTAATTTCAGTACCCACCATTTCAAACACACAAGGAACATGAGTTATCTATATCAGAAACCTCAGATATTTCCTGCATTTGGCCTTGGAAATTTCTTTTAATTTTTTTTTTTTATATTTCTGAGTTTTGAACTGGAAATGCATTGTTGTAATTTTGTGTGGTTTTAAGAAACTAAAGGAAGCATTCTGTTGTATATCTGTACTAGCAAACAGTTCGTGAAGATACAACTTTTGTGATGACTGAAACTAGGACTGTGGAAACCACTCATGTGCCTTCTGCGTACCTGGCAGAGATCCTTCACCTTCTGCAAGCCTTGTCTGAAGTGGAAGAGCGCCTTAATTCTCCTGTTCTGCAGGCCAAGGACTGTGAGGACCTCTTCAAACAAGAAGAGTGTCTCAAGGTAAGATGGAAATGTTTTCTTAGCAGTTATTAGATTGCATCATTTTGGGTCTTCTTCAAGTTGGCAGCCTGTGCTCATTCTGAGACACCTTTTACAAGTTCTAAGCCCATCTCTGTGATGTGTGAATATATGGATCTTTGTATTTGGGGTAAAATATGAGAAACTCTGAAGCGTTCATTTATTTTTACCTGTTTGACCTGTATTTGGAGGGCAAGAGTGTTACGGTATCTGCGTGTTAAGTCCTTGAATGGGAGAGAAAGGATGGAGAGGCACAGTATATTTAAAGATAAAATTTGTGGTTAAAGGTTTGTTTGCATGTGGCTAATGGAAAAAAGTTCTTCACTGAATTACTATGACTTTAAATATTACTGTGTAGTTTCTTCAGTGCTTGAAATATTACTGTCTGGTTTGTTGAATGCTTGCAACACTGAAATCCTTTGAAACTGGTGGAATTTTTTCAACTCAGAATTGACATAAGAAGAGAATGAGATTAAAGTTGTAAGCTTAAGTAGATGAATGAGTTATCAGCTTTTGCAGAATAATGTTTGTGTGAGGAAAGCCTTGTAAAAAATTGCGCTCAAGTGCTGTATATAATTACAGCAATTCCAAATTGTCATCCAGCATGAAGAGAAGACTATATTTCCATTTTTCTGTGATTATTTAGGAAAAGCATTTTTTAAAAAAAAGAAGTAAATACTAGCCTAAAGAGGCTGGAATTTGCCTACAGTCAGCTATAAGAAAGAAGCTTAGAGGGAGAATCAGGGCAGTGGCTCTGGCTATATGCTCTGAATTTTCCTCTGTGGAAGCTCATTTATCTCTTTCCACGTTAGAGGATATGTAACAAAACCACATCCATATGCTGCTGTTAGCTTCTGTAAAATCACATCTGTTTATAATTCTTATACATTCATAGATATATATATTTAGGCATTTGTGTGCACACACACATGTGCTCACACACAAATATTCTTACCATCTTGTGGAAATTAGGATGTTTTCAATTTCCTAGCAAGGCAGTAGAGTTGGGTAGTGAAGCATAACAGTGGAGTGTTGGATCAGAGTAAGTACAGAACTGGTAATAGGATGTCAATCAATAGATGTCAAATACCAGTAGGCTGTTTCTTTTACCACTTCTGATTTAATACCAGTAAATGAAAGTCAGTCTGAGTATTGAAGCACAAAACATGCCAATCTAATTGTCGTTCTTCATTTTAAACAATCTCTTCTGCACAAAAAACAAACAAACAACAAAAAAAACAACAAAAAACAAGTTATATACTATGCAAATCATGGCTAATGAGTGCCTACTTGATCCTTGTTGATGAACTTCTGTGCACTAATAGATTGGATGGAGAAATAGAGGATGGAGAAACCTCAGGAAGTTTACTGGGAAATTACTTCCTTTAGTTCTTAGTTCCTTAGTTCTTCTCAGTGCTTTACATTTGGGCTAGCTTCATCTGATTTATATCCTTAAGTAATCTGTTGTTCACCCACATACATTTAGTATTATTGGAGTTGACACCAACTTTAATAATATTGATTACTGAGGTTACAAGTAAGTACTACCATAGGTGTAATTTAACTGAACTATTAAATTGTTATGAGATGCATTTGTGGGCACAGTTCCATCTTCCTCCAAAATAAATCTCTTAGAAGAGGCAAATGGGTCTTGCACATTCGTGGGCTTTTGGAAGGGTATAGGTTTGATCCGAGCCTGCTTAATGAATATTTATTTCCAAGGAAAAGCATCCATCATTGTCATTATCCTGCAGTAAAAATAGAAAAGTAGTGCATAAATTGTTCAGCAGCTGGTTGGAAAAGGTTTGAAATTAAATTGTCGTTGATTTTTTTCCTCTGACAGATTTGCATGAATCAAATTACAGAACTGTCATGAATAGCTCTGTGTTTTAAAACTGAGCTTTTGATTTTTTTTTTCACTCCCATTCAGAAAGAATCCATTTTAATTAATCTGTGAAAGGAAAAATAAATTTATTTACAAGAATCAGTTGTAACAGCTTTGAACATTTCCTCCAGAGTAAATATGTTTAGTAGGACTTAAGCATGATTGCTCATTATCAAATAGGATAAATATTGAATACAAGTAAGAAATCGCTAATATCAATTGTCATAGCACTGACTGTTTATATCAAAGTCATGTGAAATTGTAAAATATGAGGTTTTGTAGCAAAAATCTGGTAGCTTTTAACATTTACTAAACTGTAATATTTTAATGAGCACATTTAATGTATCTGCTGAAACCAGCTCATAGGAATGTTTTTCTCTTCATTTTAAGCTTTAGGGAGTGGAAAAGTCAGATAGAGAAATCAAGTCTTGTCACTTTGCCTCATAAAGTGAGCATTGCAATGTTTTCATCATCCCATTACAAGTTCTTTCAAGTATTATGACATACAGTACCTCAGCTTTTCTTCATCACTGTGCTGACAGTACTTTACTGACAATTTAAATATTACGGTTCTGTCAAAGATGAAACTTGAGTTGATTGTACAGAAAATTGTGGTTCATAGACTGATGAATTAGAAAAGTTGGCCTGATATACTGTCAAAACAGGACAACTATTGTTATAAGCACAGACATTATTTCTATCTGCTACTGATGATGTTCATATTGATGGAGTTCACAATCTTTGAGCTACCTGTGTGGCATTGGTTATGATTACAACGGATTCAATTGCATGAAAAAATGTAGTGTTAAAATGCTTGCAGATTTTAGCAAATTATCCTTCCTTGCAGATGGTGTTTCCAATGTTTCCTAAAAGTTAAATCACTGTAAAATTTTGCATATATTCTACTTACTATGGTTATGTTGTTCATACTAAGACAAAGTTTTCCTGTGTAATGATTATCTCATGCAAGCTACTTGTTCAAGCTCCAGATTATTTAGTGGGAAATGTACACACTATTAACCAGAGGAAAAAACTAACCCATATTTATCTTTGCTAGCACGTAGAAGTGCATCAAAATAAAAGAGTATACCTGGAATTTAAGAAATCTAATTTATAACTATGTGAAACTTTAGTTAGCAGAATTTTTAAGGATCACTGTCATAGACATGACATAGTCATGCCTATTCATTACTTAATTCTATTAACTTCGAATTCAAAACTTATTTCCTGAGGTTACTTGCATTATATAATTTTATGGGAGACCTGCAGTAAGGCCTGTAGATTTTACTGCCTCTTTTTATTATTTCTTTTAATATTAATTTTTTCAGGAACATCTTATTGTAGAATATGATTATACACTTTGCTATCATATTTTTTAATGATGTCATAGTTTTAATATGGAAAGCCATCTGGCTCTGAGGAAGAGATTTCTTATATATGTATATTAATCTCTCTAACAATTCTGCTTCTAGTTCATCTTCTTCTATGTTTCCCATATGGATTTTATTTAGTTCATTGAAAATTGGGTTGGTTTCCCTGTTGTTTTTTAAACGTAGATTATTTAATGCTCTGATTCATCTTTTCTCTTTTTTTTTTCCTTTGGTAATCCTTCATCTACTAACAGATAGAGCAGGTTTTTTGCACTGTTTTCTATTGTATCATATTTCAGAATATAGGAATTCATTGAACACATCACACATCCAGGATTCTGGCAGCAAGAATCCCCTTTCAAAATGGTTTATGCCAGTCATACCTATACTAGATATTGTAACTCATAATTCTATACAGATTTTTAAACTGTAATTAATTTGTGGAATTTTTCCACCCTTCCATGCTTACTAACAACTGTGCTGTTACTGGATTTCATGTTAGTAGAAAAAGCATGAAATATTGTAAAAAAAATCTGCTATACATATACTTATAAATTATCATTCTACAAAATTTCAGAATCAAAAAAATGTACTTTTAATCTTACACAGTGGAATACATATTTGATGTGTACTAAGTGACTCTTATCAATAATAATCACGTAATATGAAATTCAGAGTGATTTTTTTGCTATAGCTCAATAGAACCCAATTGCCCATAACTTAGAACTGAGTGTGCTCACATGCACTCTCCAAATAGATCTGTCAGTAACACTGTGCTTGGTGACAGATTTGTACACAAATAGCCAAGGAACTGAATTTTTACAGGAAGTTGTCTTTCTCTGGCAGATAAAGACAAATTCCAGGTAGTGAAAATGAACTGGACTTGAGACTCTAGCACTCGGATTTCTCTTTCAAGAGCAGTGAGATGGATCAGTCCCTAAAGGCTACTGTCACTTCAGCTGCTATTGCTTTTCTGTTATCCTTTTTTTCTAAAAAATTAGCTTTGTTTGCTTCTGTTAACCACGTTAGAAAATCTCCCAAGGCATTGTTGATAACTGCTTGCAGATCATTCTCTTCAACATGAAAGACAGATGGAGAATTTGTTTGAGATACATGAGTATATTTGCACACACACACACACACATATATATATATATATATATACATGGTTTCTCTTTTATGTTTTTTTTCTCATGGACATTCTTATACTCCTTTACAGCACATCAGCTGTATCATCTTGTTCTTTTTGTAGCAGCTCTGCTTTAAACAAAACCAAAAAAATGACTTAGAAGTTCCATACCTTTTTCATAGACCACTAATTTTAAACATTAAGAGATATATCTTTTACCAATTCTGATGTGCTTAGATACATTTCATCTATTTTTAATATTTAGAAAATTGATCTACTTAGTTGAAAAAGCCTGAAATGTAAATATACATAGGCACATATATTAATCTTCATTTGTTTACTTGAACATGTTGAACACAAGTGCCTTCTTGTGTGGCTCAGACGAGCTGATATTCAGGCCTACTGAAAAGAAGGCCATTTCACTTGGGTGCTTAAGTGTGCCCTGGCATTCCAATTACATTTCAAGTACATTTTATCTGTTCTTTAAATGTGCAATTTTTTGGTCAGGGATGAGGTTTTGTGGAAATGCTGCCTCTTTTATGTTAATGGGATATATCTTGGAATATTTAGAGGCATTTTATGTTTTTATCATCTGATATTTCTTACATTCAGATTAGAAACATTGAATATCTGAATTATCCATGCCCTGAGTGTGTAAAACAAAGATTTAAGTAGACCTGAGTAAGAACCACAGAGTGTGAGACATTTTCTGGGAAAGTCAAATGAGATTTGTTGAGTAATGACACAGACCCAGCCAGTTTTCCCTCCACATGATAGATTGCTGACAAAGAGGAAACACTCTCCTTGTTGTGACTCATTCCAGAGACAAGACATCTACCTTTCCCTTTTGATTTATAAATATTCATTTAGTCTGCTTAATGTAAGTCACATTTCTCAAGATCTAAAAATTCAAATTATTATTCATGTGGGGGATGTGATGGAATGTACTTTCCCCTGCCACCCCCAACAAATAGCATAGTGCTAGAGCTCTAGGAACTCAGGGAACCCAGAGTATTTTTTCTTTGTTTTTGCAGGGTGGTTTTGTATGCAATTATTTCAATGCATTGCCTTCACATTTACGTAAGGACTTCAAGTCTGATATTTTGCAAAATAGTAAATAAAGTTTAATAACTTTAATTAGTTAAAAAATTGCAACCGATTTTGTCAGGTCAGGAAATGTAAATACTGACATGCAGAACTTTTGAGGAAATAGAACTTTGTTTCCTCTCCAACCATCAACTTCCTCAGATCTATTTCATTCAGTCTTCAAGGAAAGGATGGACATTCAATTATTATACCAGGTTATTTTAAAATTGCTCCTATTATCAATGTTATAGTTTAATTAGCATTTTGTACCAATTTCTTTTTTTTTTATGAACAGTTACTTTTTATTTTTAAAAACAATGTTTTGTTTTTATTTTTTAAAATCTTGCTGTTACAGAGCATTAAGGATAGCCTGGGGAGACTGCAAGGTCATGTAGAAATTATTAACAACAAGAAGACACCGGCTTTGAAAAATGTTGCACCAAAGGAAGCAGCAAATATACAAGAAAAGCTGACTCAACTTAATTTTGAATGGGAGAAAGTTAACAAGATGTACAGGGACCGACAGGCGTAAGTGACTTTTAAAACTTTCTCATTCTGATGGCTTTCTTCAGTATTTGACCTATTGTTGATGATTGGTTTTTTGCTTCTTTTTGTCACAAACAATAATTTCTTCTAACTAAGGAAAGAATATCTATATAGAATTGCTATTTAATTTGTAATATTCTAGTAAAACTGAAAATATGAAAAATTCTTACCAGCTATCACTTGCATTGACCCATTGAACTGGTAATGCTACATAAATTGCTATGATTTATGGAATATACCTTTATTCCAGCATGAGTACTTAAGAGTTAACAAATAACTTTGCCTTAGATTGAAAAGTCATAGTTTCAAGAATTTATTGAATTATCACAGAAAAGTCCTTGACAATTCTTCTGAGAATGAATGGCATTAATCTGTTAATGAAAATCATTTTATATATATCAATAGCTCCATTCATTAAAATTTTCCATTCATAGGAATTTTACAAAATTGGCTCTTCAGCTCTTCAATCAATGCTGAAAACCTGACATTAAAAGGTTAGGTTGCTGTGCCACCTCAAAAGACAAGAGATTGATATTTGAGAGAATATCACTTTTTGCACTAGAAATATATTTTGAAATATCATTTATCTAAGAAAATGTTGTTAAAAACTTGTCATTATTATACGAAAATTCACTTTATGTGCAAATTATTATGTTAATGATAAAATGAGACATGATTCTAAATGTGTAAGCAGTTACTGGAAGAAAAAAATACTTCATGTGCGTTTAGCCTGTACCGACTTTGCTCTACAGTCCAATTCTTGGTAACCTCTATGTTTTCTTTGATTAGAAATACTGGTAAATAGCTGTCACTTTGCATATTCCTAGAGACATTATTTCCACTGTCAGCCGGTCACTAGCTTTGATTTTTGATTACTGGAGAGAGAAGAGAGTAAAGCTTAAAAAATAATAATCAGAGAGATAAATAGTAAATAATCTAAGTCAGTAATCTTTTTGTCATCTCTGCTTTATCTCAACATTTAAAGTGTAAGAAAGATGAGACAGATTTATAGTGTGGTAAAGTTTACAAATTCTTCTTTGCCTGTTGTTTTGTTGGTTTTGGTTTTTTCAAATAGCAAGTCTTGTTCTGGTGTGGTAAGGAAATTCCTTCTAAGTCATGATGCCATGTACAGAAATGAAGGGTAAGTTAGGATAAAGGTTGAAGAAAATCTGCTCGCACAGATAATAAGACCAGGAGATATTTGCTGTTGAGCTTTTCCCAGAGACTGGCTTTGCCCAAAGTCTTACTGGTTTGGTATACCAAGGTTTGAGAAACCTTTGGAATCTCCTTTCTCTAGAGACTGGCTTTGCCCAACCTGTTACTGTTTTAGTAGACCAATCTTTGAGAAACCTTTGGAATCCCCTCACATGCATTTTCTGACACTTGTGCGTAGTAAGGACAGTAATTTAGTTAGTTGAAAGCTTGGACTATGATCACTGACACTCAGTTTTTCGTTATTTAGGCTGTAGTGGTATTTAGCCAGCAGCAGAAGTCTTTGGAGGTGAAATGAATTAATGTTTGTCAAGTATTTTGAGGTCATGAGACAAAGGCAGTGGAGAACTGTAAAGTATGATTACTGTCTAGCTGGCCTTTGCCTGGAGCACTTACCCTGGTTCAGTGTGATGGACAGCAGCTCAAGGTGATGATAAGTTTGACTGCTCTCTGATTCATACACCTTTATTTTTCTTTTTAATATTTGGGTTTGGTGTCAGCCTTAAAGAGGTTTTTATTGGCTCTAGATGGTCCCTGTAGCTTCTGCTGTTCTTTGAGGTGCATTTGGACGGCACACAAATCCAGCGGTTAGGTGAAGGACGACAATATGGCCTTTAGCATTTTACCTCTAGCAGTTTGTGTCTGTAAGGGGTGAAAGTATCAGTGTAACTCTGCCCTTGGGACATGGATGAAGCTGTGTTTAGGAGATATGCTATTGATGATGATGCTAAAGGACAGGTTTGCAATTATTATTGGAACTGTCTTTCTTTCAAGGGAGAGTGTCTAAGTGAATGTGAGTATTCCATATTTGAAAGGTACCAGGAACAAATATACTGGGACTGTGTTCATTTCTGAATATTGGTTTTATGAAATCAAAGGCTTGTAATAACATGGACATTATTGTTTTAATAAATGAAAAGTCAACTATTGCCATGACAGATGGAAGAACAAAGCAACTTTCTTTACCATTGTAGTTACTAGCAGAGAGCTCACTCTAAATACTATAGAAGCGATTAGAAACCTTCATGTTGCATTTTTTTTTGTGTGAAATGGATTTCCTTGAAGTCCTGATTCATATCTAGATACTTTGTAATTAACTCTAGAGTGAGTTCCTTTTAATTAGAAATCAAAATAGATTTTCAGTTTGTTTTATAGCAGAGCCTGCACAGTTTGACAGAAATACACTATGAATGGTGAGCACTCAAATAGCTTTACAAGTGCAGTTCTTCTACAGTTTTTGAAAATCTTATTTCACGCTTTTACTTTATCATATTTCCTGTATTTAAATAAGAGATCATATTGTACTTAGTATACCTAGTGTATTTAATATAACAGACAATATTTCACTGGGAAAAAAAAATGCTGTGGCCATCCTAGAGTACCCTTCCAGTACCTTTAGAAACCTGGGATGAATGCAAATTTTTTATTCTTTCACAAACACAGTGAACAACTAATCTTCACTAACTAATTTTTTAAGTCAAGCCTGTATCTAAGCATGGTTCTTTGATAGGAGTGACTTTCTTTTCTATTCCAATTAATATCAGAACATGGTAACTCATTGTGTTCCCAACAGATAAATGGGAATGACATCAGGTTACACCAAGTGGAATTTGTTTCCTTGGTTTCAGTTTTATGAGTGCAAAAAAACCTCCAGGAAACAGCAGTGGCCTGATTTGTCTTTTGTGAGCCAAAGAGTGACTGATGATTTAATTTATAACTTCAACCTTTGCTTGATACTAAATTTTTATGTTATCTTTCCAAAAGTTGTATTAAGATAATAGAATCTGAATTTTGAAAGGTAAGGTTTTAGTGCCAGTAAGAATAACCACTCAGATGTCATAGTTTTTCCTGTCCTTGCACCAGAATTTCACAATAGTCTTTCTTCTTTCCAGCAGTCTTAAATACTGGGGGTTTTTTGGTATTAATCATGATTATTTAGGAAGTGACATTATACCAGGTCCCTATACACCAATTAAATGAAAACATATAATCTTTTTAAATGAGAACATATAATTTTTGGGAAAAAAGACACAATAAAAGATAGGCTTTTAAATTACTCTCTTATATCACTTTTTATCCTATCAGCATGCCACTTGTAAAAGGCTTTGTTTGCCTTTTCAGGATGCTGTCTTCCCATGATATTTATGCCTAAGTTCTTCTTCTGTAATTCACAGACAACTAGCAACTTTTATAGTAATAGGAGCAAACCATAAAAATAGTTAATAGGTTTATACTAAGAATTAGTTTCATTTTTTCATAACAGTACAACTGTCAACTTTTTCTGAATAACATTAAATTAGCTCTTGATTATCTTGGTAAGGGTGAAGGAAAACATTTATTATACATAAAATTGTCAGAGAACTAATATTTTGTGGTAATATTTTTATGACCACATAGTAGCAGATGTCATAATCCCTTACTGATATATTCTGTTGAGCTGAGAACTAATCTGATCCATTTTTTAGAAAAAAGCAATGAAATACATTAATTTTTCAAATATAAGTAACCTGCCTATGTTCTGAATTACTGCAGAACAAGAAAGCCTTGAGGACATTCCTGTTTATGGTATCTGAATCAGATCCAGCGTCTGTGCTCTTTTTGCTTAGCAGAAATTATAGAGATTGAGAGATGTGCATTCAGCCCAAGTGATGTATTAAGAGTGAAGTTATCTTTTCACTGTATGAGATATTTTCTTGGAGGAGTATCTATAAGCAACTGACAAGTGCAAACCCAGATGTTAGAATACTAAGGAAATTATTTTATTGAGTGTAGATTTCCAGAAACATTTAGGTACCTCAACCCTTCTTTCATGGCTTCCACCTCTTACTTCAGTGGTCCAACTCTCTCATTCATCCCATGCAAATCTTGTGCAGATTTCTCATTAACATTCCACTATGAAACCATGCTTAGGTCTGAATCCCTTTGTGACTGTTCATTATACAACTATTTAGCCTTTCAAAGAATCCAAACTGAAACCAAAAGATAAAAAGGGCAAATTTAGAACTTTTAAGAAAAAGGGTTTGGAGCCTTGAGTACCATATCTATCTTAAGGAACATCAAAATAGAATTATTGTAGGTGATTCTTTAATTTTAATTAGATATAATAGGGAGTCATTTAGGCTCTTTATGTTTTCCTTCCCAGAGTTTCTCAGTTGTGGATTTCCAATTTCCATCTGAGGCACTAGCAGTGCTCTGTAAATGTGAAGTCATTGAAGATATGAGTCATGGGACCTACCTTTAGCTATCCAGGTTTTAGTTACCTATTTTACAGTACTTGCTTGTGTTCTTTCTCAATTCAATCCTGCAAGGCAATCCTTTCACAGGTTACTGCTGCACTATACATTGTGAGTCTCTGACTCTTCAGGGAGACCAGACAAGATAAGACTAGAGACATTATTTTTGGATAGATAAAATTGGGGGAGATTAATCTTAAGCTAGAATGTATAACAAAACAATGCAGTTTAATTTATATCTAAATGTGTTGTTATATATCTCTTTCACTATGCCCAGTCAGCATTTCTTTGTACTTGCTTTAGCTCTGACAATGTGAATGACAAAAATTAATGTTAGCTGGCATTGTTTCAGTACTGGGAGAAGAGCAACTAGTGGAAGGCATAGGCATTTTAAGAGAAAGTGAGAAATAGTGGCTGTTCTCTTCTGAAAAAATGTCCGCTCACATATTTCTGTTGAGGTTGTAAGTCTTGTTATTAGAATTATCCTTGGTTCAGGATTCAAGGTGAAAGTGAAAACCAGAACAGATTAGTTCATCT